ACTTACATTTCTATTTGCAGAACCATTTGCTCTACTACCATAAAATCCAGCTGTTCCTCTAACAAATTGGCTAATTGCACTCAAAGGGAATAGATATTGAAATTTTAAAAATTCACTATGCTAATGTAGCAAGTTTTATATAGCATTCTTTTATAACTGTTAGATTAAATCAAATGAACTTGCTGATATTTGACCTTTTTGTTTCACAAAAATAGCAATTTGTAATTCAATTTAATGCATTATTTTTACCAACTAAAGCCCCTTGAAAAGAATTTTGTGATTTTTAAAATTCATACAAAAATCACAATTACTGTTCACAAAAAATTTTTTTTTGGTGGTACTGGGGTTTGAACTCAGCCTTGTTCACAAACTTTTTCAAATGTCAAATTTTCTTTGGATCACTTAATGAAGGTTCAGCACATGAAAAGTGGATCATTACAGAAAATTTAAGAACAGCAAGTTTAGACACAAAGTTGGCAAATGTTCTGCAGTATACCAGACTATAGCCTGGGGGAGGGGGAAAGGGAACATCTGCATCTCTATTGCCAGAAATAAGTGGCATGCTGCTGACACCCTCTATTTCCCCCTCTCACCCCCCCCCCCAGTGGATTGTACAATGAGGAAAAGTCAGCCTGACCTGGTGTCAATGAAATGACATCCCAGTCCAGTTTTGCCTTCTTTGATGAAGCATCCCCCAGTAAACGCAGGGGCTTCCATTCAGGTGCATGGCAAGCGACAAGTCAGGAATGCTGCATGTTTCTAGTAATCCTCCAGAGCTCCTGCAAAGGCCTGGAATTTCCACTAAAGACACCCTGACTAAGTAAGAGTGCTCAACCTAGACATCAGTCTCAACCAGAGGCTCCATCCTGGACTCTTTCATCCCAGCCATTCCCAAGGGCTTGGGTCCAGGCGTACTATTAGCAAATTCTATTTCAAAGTTCAAAAAGTTCAGCATGATTTTTATCTCAATATTTCCTTACATTGGCATGAGGGTGCTGGAGAAGAGGGTAAGAAAGGGTACAGGGAGGATGCTTGGTTAATTATTGCTACTAGGAAGGTTTTAATGTATTTCCTAGATTAATGAAAGTCAGTCAATCAGCATGTGCAACTAACAACTTTTCCACACAGGAAGATTATGTCAGTTTCATTCTATGAATGATTACTGCACATTTATCATATGCCAGGGACTCTGCTAAGCACTAAGAATCATGGTCTAAACAGGACTTAGGATCTAGGCAGGAAACTGAGAGTCGTGGTCAGTGGCAACTTGAAGGGGGTTTTCGTTTGCCACATTTGGAAGGAAGGCTTCCTGGAGGAAGTCTCATCTAAGATGAAACCTGAATAATGCAAACAACCAGGAAAATGTGCTTGTGGAGACAAAAAGTAAGTATGAAAGTACTGGAGAGGAGAAAAGGATGGATCATCAGAGAAACCAAAAGGCATAGAACTGCATTACAAAAGAAGGAGAAGAAGAGAGGTAGGAGGCCAGCAAAGGAGCAAGGCCTAGATCCAACACAGGCTTGGGCCGCATGAAGAATTTTAGACCTTGTATAGCAAATAGTGGGCTTCATCGAATGGTTCTGATGTGATGTCATAGAGTGAATGTTTGTGTCCCTCCCATGCCTCTGCTGTAATTCTTAAACCAATCCACTAGTATAAGGAGGTAATTAGGTTTTGAGGGTGGAGCCCTCATGAGTGGGATTAGGCCCCTAGATGCTCCCTCACCTCTTCTACCATGTAAGGACACAAAGAGAAGGTGGCTGTCCAGGAACCAAAAATATGGCCCTCACCAGACACTGATTCCTAGACTTCCCTTCCTCCAGAAGTGTGCAAAGATAAATGTGTGTTGTGAAAGCTATTGATTGGCCTCATGTATTTCACTATAGCAGCTTGAGTGGATTGGGACACATGTATAAGTATTATAATGTTGAAGGAGAAACATCAGGGTAACGCTCTTTGTTGTAAGAAACATTAGTGGTTTCCAGAATCTCTGAGAGGGGTGAAGACAGAGACTCTCGTTGAGCCAAGAAGAGAGCTGTTGTGTCTGTCATGACTAGGAGTACTAGTTTCAGGGCAGCCACCTGCATTGCAACAGGAGTGAAGATCACAGGGTAGCAGCCTGAACTAGACAGGGACCGTGAGGGTGGGAGAGTAAAGATGTGGGTGACTTAGCTGGGGGAAAGAATCTATATGAAGTGGCTTTGGGTGGAAAGGGGTAGAAAAGAGTGGAAAGGGGTAGAAAAGAAAGGGGGGACTCCCAGGTTTCTGACTTAAAGCAACAGATGGGAAAGAGTTTATCAGTGAAACAGTGACAGGAGATCTAGGGTGGAAAAATGGAAGTCAAGCTTTGGACTCAGGGAGTCAGAGATGTCTGTGGGTGGGGGAGGACACCTAAATAGCCACTTGGAGGGAAAGTCATCCAGGAAGAGAGTTAAAACCCACTGTAAGAGGGCCCAGAATGTAGCACTGAGAAATACCATAACATTTGGGAAACAGGCAAAGGAAGCCCAGCTCAGCAAAGGAGACTAGAAGACAGACAGGAAAGGGAGAAGAAAAATGGAGAATGGGGTGCCAGGAAGTAAAGGAAGCAGAGGTCAAGAGTGTTAAATACTGTGGAGACATCAGCAAGATAAGCACTGAGAATGCAGAAAGAAATTGATGCGACCTTTCAGTGAAGGGTGGGAGGTAAGAAGGGAATATTGTCTTTAAGTTCAGGAATGTCCATGGACTTTGCTATGCTTAACACAGATCTAGAATTCCTGGCTACTGTTATCTTTATAAAGAGAGAAAGGAAAGGAGAAAAAGAAAAGCAAGAAGAGATGAGACTGGGAGGAATCAACAAAACACCATTGTCTGTATGTGGCATAAACATTCACATAGATCACAGATGGACATAAAGAATGGGCATGTTATTAAAAGTAGTTAGAGTTTAGCAAGGTTAATCGATAAAAGATCCATTTAAAAAAAAAACAATGATTTTACTACATCAGCAACTAGACAATGTAATAGAAAAATAAGGTACAATTTATACCAGAAAACAAACAAAAAACCTACAATGTATTTAGGAAACAGTTGGGCAAGAACTTAATGGAGAAACAATTTCAACTGTTAAAAGAAAGTAAGATCTGAATAAGTGAGGCATTCTCTGGTTTGGGATTGGTCTTTTTTTTTTTTTTTCTCGGTGCCGGGGGTTTGAACTCAGGGCCTACACCTTGAGCCACTCCACCAGCCCTTTTTTTGTGATGGGTGTTTTCGAGATAGGGTCTCACAAACTATTTGCTTGGGCTGGCTTCAAACCTTGATCCTCCTGATCTCTGCCTCCTGCTGCCTCCTGAGTAGCTAGGATTATGGGTATGAGCAACGGGTACCTGGCATGGAATTGGTCACTTCAACATTATTAAAGACTTCCACTCTACCTAAATTAATCTATAAGTTAAATGCAATCTCTTCATTTGTTTTATTTTGTTATTATTGTTACTTAAAAACTCAAACTTATGGTAAACACATATAATACCTCACCAATGCTAAATAAGAAAAAGACAAAGAAGGGGAACTTGTTCTATGAAATAACAAACCAGATGGCACATAGAAAGAAATGCATGGCACAGAGTAGAGAATTCTGAGAGCGATCCCAGTACACATGAGAACCTACTGTGTAACTAATGAGAGGCAAACCACCAGCAGGAACTCCATATTTGGAAAAAAATAAAATGGGTTCCTACCTAATACTGCATTCAGAGGTGGGTCCCACATGAATTAAGAAACTAGAACTATTAAGGTCATAGAAGCCAATGTAGAAAAGTAACTCTGTGACTTATGGAAGAAAAAGAGTTCTTAAAACCCCAAAACACAAAAGTTAGGTGTATATTATATAAAACAAAAAATTATAAAGACCAAGTCTCAAATTTGCAATTTTTTCCTATGTAAAAAAGATAACATGAGAAGAATTGACTATTTATTCTTTTATGATTACTCATTTAGTCATGTAGGGTTCATGAGTACAGGGAAAATATAACAGATGGTTTTAATTTTACTTTTAAAAGAGAACACTGAAGTATTGAGTGAATACTATGATTCTTTTTACAACATAAATATCACCATTTCAGTTCTTCATGTAGTCACACGTTAGTCCACATTAACTCTTAAAATAAGGAGTAAAGCTAAATACCAAGAGATTTGTCAATTATAATCTGTTTTTTCTCCATACTTGCAAAACTTTCAAACCAAACCAAAAAGAACTAGTATTACTCTCCCCATGGTGGCATATTTCTATAATTCTAGCACTTGGGGGGTTGAAGCCCAAGGCCAGCCTGGTCCACATAGCAAGACCCTGTCTCAAAAAGCAAAGCCCAAACAGAACAGCTCCCAAAAAACAAAACAATCCCCCAAACAATGACAACAAGTTGGTATGATGAATCCTAAGCAAATGAACCCAAAGGAATAGGACTAAATTAAACCATAGGCTTTTTGAAATTCACATTAATACATGTTACAGTTATCATAAGCACAACTGAATGAAATTAAAATAATGCATAACTCAAATTTAATTGAAATCTTAATAACCCTAAGAGCTTAGAGCTATATCCTAACTGTTTTATTTCACTACAGTCAACTTTCATATGAGCTAGAATGAGTAACTTAAACTGCAATATAAAAGAACAATTCACACAAAAACCAGCATTTGTTTTTAAATGAGTTGTCTGGAAGTTAGACTTGAATGTAATAGCTATGGAAAAAAACAAACTCAGGGCTTCACAGACTACACACTTAATTCTGATAGAATAGGTAACAGAATATATTAGGTACAGCATTTATGGATGACAACTGAAGATCTTCTCATTTAACTTGTTTAATGCATTAAAACATTCCTTCTTCAATCCTTTTAAGTGTTCCCCACCCTCCCCATCTATCTTCTACATATTTCACAAACTATGAAATTGCCTCTAAAATGTGTCATATAGTAATAGGTATCCTAAATGTATTAGATTAATAAGCTGTACCTTGAACAACAACCTGGCTGCCTGGGACAAAGAACTGCTGTGTGCCATCAGCTGATTGTGCTGCGTACTGTACAATTGTAGCACCTGGTGGAGGAGCTCCTGAATTTGTCATTGTTAATGCCTGTAGTCCCTGAACTCCATCAGATCCTGGGTTAGAAATCTGGATTGTTCCACCTTGGGCTATAGCAACTTGATAGAAAAAGAAAAGAAATATTAGAGAATTTTAAGTTTCATTTTTAATAACCCTATACTCTAGGTCTATGTATTACTGTTGCTTCTCTTTCTCAAGTTACCCTTATTTTTCTATGCTTACAAACACTCGGAATATATTTTATATTCAGAATTTTTGACACTCCTAGAATCCATGGGCTTTTCCTCCTCCCTGGCATCTGTGCAATTACATTTATTGAAAAGGAAGAATAAAGAAGCAGACAGGCGGATGGTCAAGCTTCTTGGTGGTTTCCATTCTCTCAGATGTTTGTAGTGTAAGTGTTAAAACACTTACAAAATGATCACTGAAGCCTGGCGCTGGTGGCTTGCACCTGTGATCCTGGCTGCTCAGGAGGCTCTGCAATAGAACCCAGCCCTTCCCACAAAAATGGAGGGGGGGGGTAGGCTTCTTTTAAAGTAACTTGTATTTGGGTTTTAAAACACATGTCTACAAAACTGTAACCTTTAGCATTTTGACTATGTCAGGAGAACCCTGAAATATAAAATGCTAAGTTGGAAAAACCTGACTAGGTAACTCTACTAAAACAATTTATGTTACAATATTTACCAGTGGCAACAACATGAGGCAGACTTCCCCTAAATATCAAGATTAGTCAGTCACGTTGAAAAGTTAATATATTAACTAAAGTTTCAAAAGAATAATTGATCAAGTGTTTTGTTTTAAAATTTCACTAACAGACAAATAAGAACTGTTTAAAATACTTGAGAGGTACGTATATTTTAACATAAAGATTAATAGAAACTAAGGGTTATTCTTTTTCAAGTCACATATAAACTTTAAGGGTTATTCTTTTTTAAGTCACATATAAACTATGTCTACTTAATTAGACTTCATAATGAAGATTTTAAAGCCATATTATGAAAAAAAGAAAAACTATTTTAGGAGAAAAAAATAAAAACCACTTCATCAAAATAGATAAATAAAAACTCAGCATCAGAATAACACTACACATACAAGTCACTGTAAATGCCTGTTAGGAGTGGTATGGTAGTGTTTAAAGTACACCCCGAATATGTCCAAGTCATTTATACACATTTAATGACATCTAAGCAAAGACGACCCACTGTGTAAAGCCATCAGAACTGTGGGAAGAGTAACAACAACAACAATGAATTTTCAGGGTGTATTTTTCTTTTTTCTTATTTTTTTTTCCTGTGGTACTGGAGTTTGAACTCAGGGCCTACACCTTGAGTCACTCCAACAGCCCTATTTTTGTGAAGGGTTTTTTGAAATAGGGTCTCAAGAACTATTTGCCTGGGCTGGCTTTGAACCACAATCCTCCTGATCTCTGCCTCCTGAGTAGCCAGGATTACAGGTGCCCAGCTAAATTTTCAGTTTTTGACTTAAGCTTCTAGTGGCTAACACAAAAAGATGAGTTAACATTTCTGGAAAGATTCAACTCAGATGTATGTTGTATGTGTTGGTTCACTGGCAGGCCACTGTTAGATGAGGACTGACAGAAACAGAAGCATCAGTAACAAAATGCCAAGTGCACTGAGACCGAGAAAACTTGATGTAATAGTGCATTATATTCTCAATGTATTTTAAAAGCAGGACACCTTTAAACCACCACTTCTAAGGATTTCTAGTCTCAGGAATCAGTCCTCACAGAGGACTCATGAGAGGCCTAACTTCTTAAAAGGGAAGTATGAAAAAAAGAAGCAATATCCCTGCCTTGGATCTTCATGGCTGAACACAAATGAATTTTATAAGTAGTCATATACTTGAATTTGTACTTGCAGTTGATAATTAGTTTGCTGTCATAGACATAGTGCTGTGGAAAGAACAGCCACAGGCAGAATAATCACAAAGTGTGAGAAGCACAAAGCCTCACACGGAGCAGGTGCTCAGTAAATAACATGGATGAGTGGCCATCATTTCCTCACACATAGTACATTGTAAACTTGTGACTCTAGAAGAATTAAATGGTATGGTTTCAAAATTCCAGTTACCCTGTAATACTAACTACTTAGGAGGGAGAGATCAGAAGGATCACAGTTCAAAGCCAATCTGGGCAAATTGTTCATGAGACCCTACCTCAAAAATACCCAACCCCCAAAAAAGGGCTGGCAGAATGGCTCAAATGGTAGAGTGCGAGCCTATCAAACATGAGGCCTAAGTTCAAACTCTAGCACTGTAAAAAGAAAAAAAAAAAAATCCAACTACTGAACTTAATTTAGGCTTTTGGAGTAGTCATTGGAACCTCAAGATAGTAACAAAAATATCATTCTTTTTTAAAACTTTTTTAAAATTAAAAAAACATTCAAAATTAATTTTCTTTCTTTTTACTCTCTCTCTCTCTCTCTCTCTCTCTCTCTCTCTCTCTCTCTCTCTCTCAGTATTTTTCCCTAACATTCCAACCAAAGGGTTTTTTGGGATTTGTTGGGGTTTTTTCTTTCCTACTTTGAACAGCTGACATAACAAGATCTATGTGTCTTTTCATTTTAATTTCTGATGAAGTCAATATATAACTAGATAGGGAAAATGAAAGCTAATACACATAAGGTAGCTCTGGGAGAAACATTTCTACTGATATTCTCATACTTGAGCCTAACTATCCTTTTTATACTGACAGGGCTTGATTTTGGCATTATCAAATGACAGTGAACCTTCCCATTCAAAATGTTATCTCCTGGAGATGTGGCTCAAGCAGTAAAATGCCTGCTTCCAAGCACAAAGCCATGAGTTTAAACCCCAGTCTCACCAAAAAAAAAAAAGTAATCTTCTGTCGACAATAAACAAGATTAACCAATGCTTTAAGGATCCCAGAAATAGGCTTGCGTGTATCTATCTGTAGTCAAATATCTGAGTAGGATGCATCTTAGGTTTCAAAATGTTCAGGGAGATCATAATTTGTTTTAGTAACCATAAATCAAGATAAGTAGTCAGAAAAAATAAGATGAAATTACCTAAATGAATTCAGAGATATGTTCTATTTTAGCATTTAAAAACTTACAATGGAAAAGTTCCAGCAAACATAAAAGAAAATTTTTTGTTATCCATTTCCCCTGATCACTCACATCCTCCCTTCTTTTGCCTCAAAACAAATCACAAAGTAGGCACTCTACCACTTGAGACTTTCTGCCATCCTCTTAAATAATAGGTTTATAAAATAATTTAAACTGAATTAAAAATGAACAGCTAGATTATGTAATTCTTTTTTTTTCCCCCCAGTACTGGGGCTTGAACTCAGGACTTACATACACACACATGGGTATTTTTGAGATAGGGCCTCATGAACTATTTGCCTGGGCTGGCTTTGAACCATGATCCTCCTGATCTCTGCCTCCTGAGTAGCTAGGATCACAGGCATGAGGCACTGGTGCCCAGCAACTAAATTCTTTATCAATTTCCATTATTACTGATTCAAGTCTGCTAGTCTGCTATCAGTTCACAGTAGAGGTAGGTAGAAGTTAGGTCTTGATTTTTCTCATTGTTCTGGGAGCTACATTAGCAAACACAAGGCCCTGAGTTTAAACCCCAGTATTGTATTAAAAAGACAAAAAGAGAGAAAGGGGGAGAGAAGAGAGAGAGAGAGAGAGAGAGAGAGAAAAGAAAGAAGGAAGGAAAGTGAGCAGAAAAGAGTTTTCTAGCCAGGAATGGTGGTATACAGCTTTAATCCTAGCACTTGGGAGCATAAGGCAGGAGAATCTTGAGTTTGATTCAAGTCTGGGCTACACAGTGAAACCCTTCTCAAAAACATAAACAACAAAAAACCCATAAGAGAAAGTTTGCCTAAACAGCACAAAATTTACTCATTCACTAAGTATATTTCTACTAAGTTAGTTTTAGCTGGTTATACAAACATCTTTATATGCATTCTTATATAATATTTAGTTTTTAAATCAGTATCAACCTAAGTGTGGTTTTCTGACTCCACAATTCATCACCATATACCAGGGGTACCATAGAGGATGGTATCATACCAATGACAACAAATGCTAAAAAATTTCCTAAGATACAAAACTGTACTTAGAAATCAGCTTCTTTCATTTTTTATGGGATGAAAATACAATATTAGTAAAAAAAAAAAAAAGTTAAGTAAAGAAGTATTTAAGCCCTATATAATTGACAAAGAAAAAAAACATTAATTTAAAATGGGTAAAAAACTGAAAAAAGAATTCATGAACAAATAAGTGGATTTATTCAAATTAAAATCGAATCTGAGTTCTTTTCACTGATGCCATGTACATCAAATTTTACAAATTTACACTTATGAGCAATTCAAATAACATAAACATATGTTCAGGTAGTTACAATGTAAAACTGCCTTTATTCCAAGTTGGGATAAAAAGATTTGTAAATGTGCTTAGCTGGATTCAGTCCCCAGCTCCTCAAAAACAAACAAACAAACTACAAAACAACAATAACAAAAGACCAAACAACCCCCTCCCCCAACCCAGCAGACAGACTTGCTTTTGTTCCAATGAGTCCTTAGGTTTAAATTAAATTCAAAAAGCAAATAAAAAAGAGAAATTATGAGTATCTGTTCCTTAAACGCCAAGAGGTATGTATAACAGTAAATCATGTTATAATAAAAATAGCAACACCAAGGTCAAAGAGCCCTATTTACATTAAGAAGTACTTGAACTAATTTTGAAACAGTTACCTTAAGGGTTGTAAGCAATGCTGCTATCAAGAATAAATAACTCAAATGCATTTACTTCAGCATGTGTAAGCCTATTCTGTCAATCTCCTCTATTTAAAAAATGGTGCAGTCTAGGGAGGCAAAGATCAGGAGGATTGCTGTTTGAGGCCAGCCTAGGCAAATAGTTTGTGAGACCCTATCTCAAAAATACCCAACACAAAAAAGGGCTGGCAGAGTTGCACAAGTGGTAGAGCACCTGCCTAGCAAGCCTGAGGCCCTGAGCTCAAACCCCAGTATCACCACCCCACCCCCATGATGTTTATTCATATGAATCTCCTAGGAATTCTGAATTCCTTAAGTAGTCCACCAAGTTCATTTTTGTATTAATTCACACACCTTTGATATATAAGAATTCCAGTAAAGATAAGTTAACAGAGACTCATTTTAACAAGGTTCCTAGTGAAATAAAGAAAAGGATCAGGGGACATCTAGAAAAGAGGAGTGTGAAGTCTTGGTGGTAGCCCTGAATTTGTGTGGGAAGGGGTTGGGTTTAGTAGGGTGGGGGATAGTAAAATGCCTTTCTCTTTAGAGAAAATTTACTAAATTAAGAAACTTCACTGTGGTGCTGGTGGCTCATACCTGTAATCCTAGCTACTCAGGAGGCAGAGATCAGGAGGACCATGGTTCAAAGCCAGATTGGGCAAATAGTTTGTGAGACCCTACCTCAAAATAAACCTTCACAAAAAAAGGGCTGGTGGAGTAACTGAAGGTGTAGGCCCTGAGTTCAAACCCCAGCACTACAAAAAGAAAAAAAAAGAAAAAGAAAAACCTCAAACATTTAAATTTCTTTAGTAGCTTTTACTTTGCTTTTTGAATTCACTCCTTTACAGTGTATCTTAACTATCTTAGGCCTGCTTGTAACATTCTTGGCTAATTCCAAGCCTATCTCAATTGCCATCTTTCAGGTATATTCTCTTGGGATAGAACAGATTTTCTTTGACAAGAATCATTGAACGTGGTGCTAGGGATGGACCCAGGGCCTTTCACATTCCAGGCAAAGCCCCACTGCTGAGCCACAGCCCAGCTCCACTTAACAGTTACACAACAACCTGTCACTGTGATTTCAACTTCTGGTGAACATTTTTCAGGTAACTCACTTGCTTGGTGCTCATTCATAAATCCCTGCATTCTAAGTTCAAATTTTTAAGTCCTTCTCCTACGCCCAGGTAGTACCTTATTCTGACTTTGCAATTTCTAGTTTTTTTGTGATTAAAAAAATAAGTCTAAATAACAAGGATAACTTCTGTCAAATATCTTTCAATTATTAAAAATGTAACTGCTTGTATATGAGAAAACTTGAGTTCACTTCTTTTTCTTATATTTCTTCCACTGTGATATGCATCACACAGATACATTCAAAACATATGTAGAAAAAGAACCAGAGATTCTAGTAAAATAAACTCTAATCTAAAACCAGAGGGACACTGGTAATTGCTTCTATTTCTACACATTTAGATACAACATCAAAGCATCAACATCTGTTAAGTTTTTCCTAGTAAAAAATAAGATTAATGAAGTGGATCTTGTGTGTATAAATATATATGTATCATCTAATTAAAGTACATAAGTGATTTTTAAAAGTATAAATATTAGGATTTACTTCTCAAATGAAACAATTATCTACATAAAAAAGTGTCACTAAATGTCCCAAAAATGCATTAACAAAGGCAATATTGTTTGTGTGAAGCAATAAATGGCATTTTTACCTGAGCACTACACACAGAGAGCAACCGCAATTCTCATGACAAGAATTGTCAGTGCCATACTGTATAGGTCCAAATTAGAACACCAAACAGAATCCCTGACTTCTTGTGTGGTAACAGATAAAGGTCTAACTTCCAAACATGCAGTTTTCTAGTTCTCTCTCAGAGCCCTGACTCCACTACTTCTGTCACCCCTGTGTGCACACAGGTAACAAGGTGCCCAGTTCCCTGCTGGAAAGGCAGAGGAGCTGGCTGAAGGGATAGTGTAAGGAACATGAGTGAGACTCTGCCATAGACAGCCTAACTCTCTTGCCTTATCTCAGCAGTGGCACACCTTCTCCCCTTTATTTTACCTTTTGTCTGCACACTAACCCTGGAGTCTGACCATTTAAATCATTCCCACTTCAAACACCAAAACCTGAGATGCAAAATTAAAGCTCCTCATTGAGTTAGCACAAGACAGATCCCGGATGCCTTTCTCATGCTGGCTCCAATTGCACATTCTCTTAATCTCATATTTTCACTATTTCAAATTTTCAGATAATAATCTAGGTAAATTAACCTAGGAAATCTACTTTCCTGTTCCCTTGTATCATTAGGATATTGCAAAGAAATATCCAAACAACAGCCTCCTAGCTATCCCCAAACTTGGGAAGTCTTAAATTATTTGGCAGTGATTTCCAAACTTTTCCCTGTGATGACACAAACTGAAAATTGATAACATGCATACAGCCCACTGGGGTGGACTGCTCAAGGCCAAGGCTGCCCAGTCATGAGGTTCCAGCTGCTCCCTGGCCTGCCCAGTCCCTCTGGGAACTGAGGCACAGCATCTCTGCCCTCCTGGGACCTGGCACCACACCACAGAGCACAGTGATTTGTAGTCCTAAAACTCCTACCACGTATTCCCAGGGTTCAGACAAAAAAATATACCAACAAGAGAAGTAATATATGAGATATGACAGTGAAAATCTCAAGGTCTAATTCTTGCAAGTAGGGGAGCTTTCTTTTCCTGACGTGGACTTTGGACATGTCCATTAAGCTTGTTGTGGAGGCTGGGGACAAACTGTACCCCAATCTTGACAAGTATCATGACAGGGGCTCCCATATCCACCACACGAGAATTACTTTAATAGCTTAAAACTGCAAATTTCTTACCACTACAAGAAAAATTCTAAAAAGAAGCAAAAAGCCAATTAATAGCTATAAAAGATCTTCCCATAGCCAGGTTTTAAGATTTGGCCTTTTCAAGCCAGGTGCTGGTGGCTCACGCCTATTATCCTAGTTACTCAGAGGGCAGAGATCAGGAAGATCTTGGTTCAAAAACAGCCTGGGCAAATACTTAGAGAGAACTTACCTCAAAAAAACATATCACAAAAATAGGGCTGGTGAAGTGGCTTAAGGTGGAGGCCCTGAGTTCAAACTCCAGTACCACAAAAAAAAAAAAAAGATTCAGTCTTTTCTAGGTTTGCTTGCTTTCTAAAGGAAAAACAGAGAGCATAGCAGAGCTGGTGGAGTGGCTCAAGGTGTAGGAACTGAGTTCAAACCCTAGTACCACAGAAACAAACAAACAAAAAACAGCATATCTGAAATCTTAGCATCTTATTTGGAAAAACAGTATTTATTATCACGTATAGTCCATTAACAAATTAGCTTTTACTATCATGTCTCCTACTCCTCTGCCCCCTTTTCTTGCTTTCTAACTCTCATTTTTAAAAATTATTTTTGTTTATCAAAATGTTCTTAATTTGGGGGAAAAAAAACCCAGTGCTTCAATTAGAGAAAAAAAGCACAGACTTAACAGGCCATTAAAATGCACAAGAATAAGTGTGAACATATTTATTTACTCAGAGTTTTCACTGCATAAAAGTTCAAATAAAATGACCTATCCAATTGTCATAGTTTTTTAAAAGTTAAATCGTTTTTAATTTTCTTTTAGGAAAAACTTCAGTGCAAATTAGCACAGTAGAGTGTAGTGAAAATACAATTACAGGTAAAGCATAATTTAGAATGCACATACCTCTGTTATATTAGTAAGAATGTTGGTAACAAAAGTCAACAAGAATGAAATACAGCCAGGCGCCAGTGGCTCACACCTGTAATCCTAACTACACAGGTTGCAGAGATCAGGAGGATCTCAGTTTGAAACCAGCCTGGGCAAATAGTTCACCACACCCTATCTCAAAAAACCCGTCATAAAAAAAACAGTAGGGCTGGTGGAGTGGCTCAAGGTGATGGCCCTGAGTTCAAGTCTCAGTACTACAAAAAAAACCCCAGATATTTCTATCACATGCATCACGAAGACAACAGAAACTATTAACTTCTGAACTTTTACTTGCGATAAATATAAACATATAAATAGGAAAACCCCTCATTTTATTTTTGCTCCCAAACCTTCTTCTAAGGGCTGGTGGAGTGGCTCAAGTGGTGGAGCACCTATCTAGCAAGCATGAGGCCGAGTTCAAACCCCAGCACCATCAAAAAAAAAAAAAAAAAAACAAATCTTCTTCTATATTGGCAATAAAATTTTTTGCTTTTCAACTCTCAATATAAATCTCTCATTTCTTTAACGTGTACTTCTCATTCTATGATACAGTTTAGTTAGGAATGACATATCTTAAAATGGAACAAGTTAACGCCAAAGCCCAAGTGGCTTGAAGGTAACAGAGAAGACTAATTGCTGGCACTCACTGGACGGAAATTCAGCATACATACTGTATTGCCCCGTGCTGGTTTGATATATGCTAGTTGGTACAGCCATAGCAAGGTTAGGGGCTGGTCCTTCTTCCTCTGATTTTTCTTCTTCAATCTTGGGAACACCAGGCACATCAGAGGAAAGTTCATTCAGTATTTTTCTAAAATGTAATTTAGCAATATAAGTATTCAGGATGTACAAGTAAGATAGAAAAGAGAAAAGCTTTGATCGACAGCTATTCTCCCTTCTGGGGGAGTATCATGCCAGTAGGAAGCTTAGTTAACTTACCTGTAAGAGGGTCTTCGTGAAAGGATTTCTCTACGTTTATGAGAATCAATTACACCTTCTGATTCTGCAGACTCATCTGTCTCTGCAATTGTTGCTACCTAGAATACAAGATTTTCTGAAATACATCATAAAATACATGATCTTCTTCCTCATTCAAAGCATGGTGGCTAAGGGTCTTTGTGGGCAGCACTGCACCAGGTGCTGTGGAGCAAGTGAACAAAAGGGCACAGTGACCGTGAACTCAAGAAGCTCCTGGTCTGGCTCAGGAAAGGAACACAGACAAAAACATTTATATGTGTGGCAAGAAAATGGTATAGATAATAAATACTATGGAAATGCATCCGAGATAGAGGCTCAAATGCCTCTAGGCTTCACAGAAAAGGATGAAGGTAAGATAGTTAAGATGGAGGATCCTAAACCTGAATGTGCCCTTCTCAGGCCACAGGGAGGGAGGGAGCCAGTGACAGAGGCCGAAAAAGTGCTCAATTTCAGTGCTCTCTTCACAGTACTGTATGTAGCTGGCTTGAGTTTGGTCTTCAAGTTAAGCATTAGTTAGCCCCAAAGAAGAAAGAACATTTAAATAAACCAGTGAGTAAACCAGGCCAGTTAAAGTTAGGATTTATAGTCAGGCACCGGTGGCTCATGCCTGTAATCCTGGCTACTTAGGAGGCTGAGATTGGGAGAATCAAGGTTGGAGACTACCTAGAGCAAATAGTTCGAAAGACCCCCTATTCAAAATAACCAGAGCAAAATGGACTGGAGGTGTGGCTCAAGCCGCACAGTGCCTGCTTTGCAAGCATGAAGCCCTGTCCCACCAAAAAAAAGTTAGAATTTAGATTACAAGGAGTAGGTTATGGTTTAATGGTTGTAGGTCTTGAAGATCAAATAAGAAATTTCTCCCTAAGCCAGGCACACAGTAATCCCAGCATTTGGGAGGCTGAAGCATGAGGATCGTGAGTTCAAGGCCAGCCTGGACTCCATGACAAGACCCCATCTCAAAAATTTATTTTTCTCCTTAAAAGAAGTATCATCATTTTCAGTATAACTTCATCTTTCAAGTCAGGTAATAATACAAATAATGTGATTTTAAGAAAAGTCAGAAAAATAAAATAATGAATCTCTGTAACAGCATGTCTACTGTCAATGTATTTGTCCATTAACTCTAGGACCTTGGGTAGCAAAGTTTACAAAATTCAGTTTACTTAATGCTACAATTACAGGAGAATTTTATTTAGCCAAAATCAAGAGGTTACTAAAACTATCAAGAATTCAAGCAAGGTCTGGTGCTGGTGGCTCATGCCTGTAATCCTAGCTAACTGGGAATCTGAGGTTGGGAGGATTGCAGTTGAAGCCAGCCTGAGCAAATAGATTAGGAGACCCCAGCTCCAAAATAACCAGAGCAAAATGGACTTGAGGTCCATTCTGGCTCAAGCAGTAGAACTCCTGCTTTGCAAGCTCAAATCCAAAGTTCAAACCCCAGTCTCATCAAAAAAAAAAAAAAAAATGCAAGCAAGAATACACATTTCCTAAAGCACATGGATGTGTACTATATTCACCCATACGAGGCCCTGCCCCTCTGGCATTGAGACCCCACACGTAAGCACACACACGAATGAACAGAGCTTAGTGGGAAAAAAATGTTGTTGCACTAGCAATCATATATCACTGTCAGATATTTGAGCTCTCACACATCTGTTTATAAATTGTAACAACTCCCTCAGGTAAGGTCGGCTATTATTTTAACCATTTTAGGAAAGTAAAAACCAGCTGGGCACAGTGACTCACACCTGTAATTCCAGCTACTTGAGGGTACAGGAAGAAGGATCATGGTCCAAGTTCACCTGGACAAAAAGCTAGTGAGACCCTATCTCAAAGAATAAGCTGGGCATGATAAATACATGCCTGTAACCCCAGGGGGTACTTTGCGGGGGGCGGCAATAGGTAAGAAAGATTGTGGTCCAAGGCCAGCTCTAGGCAAAAGCAAGACCCTAACTGAAGAATATCTGTAGCAAACTAGGACTGGGGGCATGACTCAAGTGATAGAGCCCCTACCTAGCAAGAGCGATGCCTTGAGTTCAGACCCCTGTACTGCCAAACAACAAAGGTTTGTGGACATGGGTTCAGCAATTTGTTCACTGTCCAGTACACAGAAATTCATCCTAAGACAAGATCCACCAGCATTTATCTCTACAAAGACACTAAGTCATTCATTCAAGGACAACAACAAAAGCCTACTGAATACAGGACAAAACTTTCTTCCAATACCAACCAGATTAAAGCTAAGTAAAAATATCTGTACCCCAATAAAAGTCATGACAAAAAGAAGACCATGGAAAACTTTGTTTTTTAAGGAGAATCAGAAAGAGCTAGAAACTCTGAGAATCGAGGTTGTCACAGGACTGGAGGTATGGTTCAAGTGGTAGAGTGCCTGCTTTGCAAGCATGAAGCCCTGAGTTCAAAACCCTAGTCCCACAAAAAACAAAACAAAAAAACAATATCAAGGTCACCACAGAAAATAAAAGACAATGATGAGAATTATTCTTACACTTTTGGGCAGCCAAGGAAAAGATGCCTATGCCAGAAAGCTAACCACCCTGGTGCAATCTGTGGACATGTCCCTCCCAACATTGCACTCTGTGACACACTCGCTCATCACACACACAAGTCACGGACACGACTAAGTAATGCCTCTCCGCTTTCCTCATGTGCATTTTGGCCATCAACTAGGTTTTAAAAAATTCAACATGTAAAGTATAGTAACTCAGGAGGCAGAGATCAGGAGGATCAAGGTTCAAAGTCAGCCTGGGCAAATAGTTCTCAAGACCCTATCTCAAAAAAAATATATATATATATAATTTTTACCTTTAAGAAATGCTAAGGATTTCTGACCAACCTTGATAATAATAAATAGTAAAATACACTCCTGGATCACAAACCATAAAAATAATCACATCTACAAAAAACAAGCTCTGAGAGGCCCATGACATATAAACCTAATATGCAAGTGACAGTATCAATTACTTTTAGGTTCAGGGATGTAGCTAAGTGGTATGGTGTGTGCTTAGCATGCATAAGGCCCTTGGTTCAACTCCCAGCACCAAAATTAATCAATTAATGAGTTAATTAATACCATATTACTTTTTAAGGATTTCATATACTGAATCTAAGATAAACAAATATCTACCTATTAATGTGACTGTGCATGAACATAGTAGTGATACTATAATTTTTATGTTGCTATGCTTATCAGACATCTTCTCCAAAGAACCCTCAAAATATTGTTAAAAACCACTGGAAAGCTTTGGTAAATAAATGAATCTGAGAACAGAATAACTCAAAGAAGATGAACTGCTTATCTAATAATTACTCATTCTGCAAATTAAGACCTGACAACAAAATTCTCTTTGTTTTTTGAGACAGGTTTTCACTTTGTAGCCCAGACTGGCCTCAAACTCAAAATCCTCCTGCCTCTGCCTCCCGAGTGCTGGGATTACAGGTGTTACGCCACCTCACCTGGCCCCAAACTCCAACTCTTAAGTCAAATGTACGCATCTAGCAGGACACATTACTTCCAAATATTCCTTCAAATATCAACTAGGGTTTGAGTGTAAAAGCTACATAAAGAAAAATGATGACAGGGACTGGAGATGGGACTCAAGTGGTAAGAGTCCTTGCCTAGCAAGTGGGAGGCCCTGAGTTCAAACCCTAGTACTACCACACACACACACACACACACACACAAACACACACACACACACAAAAGTACTCCAAGAAAAACGATGACAAATGAATTAGTGAAAGAAAAACGTGACAAAGGCTCAGGAAAATCAAAGAGCAGTCCCCCAGGATGGAAGCTAACCTGGATGGTTTGTATCTGTGGTGTCTGAATTACTCCCTGGACCTGCACAGTTTGGCCCGAAGGTAACTGCACTAGAGTCACAGCGGGGGAACTTCTTCCGGTGCCTGATCCAGCTACAGAAACCTGCAAAAACGATCACCATTGAGGATCTGAGGATTAAAGCCTCTACGTGCCTGTTCTTATTTTTAAGAAATACCACTCACTATTATGACTGGCCCACTTCTCTTTTCTTTTTCCCCTGCTTCTAAACATGACAAACAGGCAGGGGTACTTACCATTAGATGGGGGTCACTGTCCTGGAGCTGTCATTCTCTGATGTGACAGATAGTAAAGAACCCATGCGCCTCACTTTTGGCGCCCATGCTTCGGTGGAGGAGAACGTTCCAGGCGCAAAGTTCTAAGGCAGTTAAACTACCTCACTACAACCTCATGACTACTAACAGTGATGCCTTTCTCAGGCCGGAGCATGAACCACCCTCCCTAACTCCTTAAGAGGCACTGGAGGATTTAAATATGATGAGCTGTTTTTTAATATTATGTTTTTACATATGATAATTCTACTTTAGATGCAAGTTGATGCCCTGTCTCTATACTGACAAAAATCACACTGATTTTTATGACCCTATAATCACACACACATGAAGTGCACAGACCAAAGAAATTTCAGGACTGTTTAAGTCCTGAGTATCTTGGATCCAGAAAAAGCTCCTGTCTTGGAGCTGGTGTGGCCTCCTGCCACCTCTTCTCTCCCTCAGGTAGAGCATCCCAAGAGAGGGCCACAGCCAGCACTCAGCTTTGAGCAGAGACAGGAGCAGTCATTCCCCAGGTACCCTGAGTGCTTTCAGCTGAGACTCCTACCAGCCAAACAGACATGCCTACCAGCTCCTCCAGGTGCTGGACTCCAAGCCCGCTAAATTTTAAGTAGTAAGCAGTCTGTCCTATAGGTTCCGGGAATTTTAGAAACTCTATTTCACCTTACAGAGTCACTATTCCTTATGACTTGCTCAAAACCATCAAAGACTTTGGAAATGAAACAAGCCACCAGTTTCCATCACGAGCAGTAGCAGAACCTCAGGATCTTAAATATTTTAAGGAAGGTTCTGTGTGTGACCTCACTTTTAAAAACACAGATGATTTCTAATCTACTTTACAAGTACTTTAAGGAATTATTTAAAAACTGGGATTTACAAGCCAGGGGTGGTGGTACATGCCTATAATCCCAGCACATGGGAGGCTTGG